CCAGATGTGCTCTAAGCCCTGTTGTGTAAGAGCTGTGTCTACCTACACGAGGAGATGCCAGGAGTCATGTGTGGCCGGCAACAGCAGAACAGCAGATGTCTTGGTACACCTTTACCTTCCCGTCTTTGCTCTGGAGGAGTCAAAGGAGTTACAGGTAACAACTGCGTAACTCTGCCCAAAACAAAGCCTGTGTTGCAGCAAGCAATGAGATCTTCCTGACCATGCACAAAATCATGACTGTGCTTAGCAGTTAAGAGTGTAGGAATAGCTCTGCTCCTTCAAATCGTGATAGACAGCTACAGTAAAATGGAGGTAGGAAGTTGCTGCCCATTTTTGTTATTGCCACTGGATGGCAACAGACATTAAGCAGAGACATTGAGTTATCACTGCACAAACCACACATGCGCTTGTTGTGCTTCACCTTGTTATTTAGGGGAATGGTCATGATTTCAGCACACGTAGCAGGAACACCAGAAAGGTCTCTGCGGGATAAAGGCACAGGCTGGCAGCCACAGAGCCAGCAAGACTGTTCCTGGAGTCAGGTTGAATGCTGGACATTCACTTTGTACAGCTTCTCCATGTGTTTCCTGGAGTGTGCACTTGAAAGAATCTTTTTCTTGCTGGCCCAGGGCAAACTCTTTTGATGAGACATGCAAAGTATATTTAATGCCATGGACATAAGTGAAAAACTGCGTGGTGGAATGAAAATATCATGCTGTGAAATAATTAACACTTTTATGTGACACTGATGGCTGACTTTTTAAAGTTACATAAACTTGGCTATGTGCTGGCCAACAGCCACAGAAAGATTTACACCTAGGTGTCAAAAACACAGCCAGGCTGTTCAACAGCTTCTCTTGAGCCATCAGTTTCCTATGAACCTCCAGAAACGCTGGACTAGCACTGACCTGAAGCCAGGTGGGACTTGCCATGGCCACAGGGGTTTAGTCCCCACCTGTGTTCTGTGAACCTCACTAGGACCATTCAGTTTAACAAGGACGTGTGGTGGTAGTATAACAGTTCCGAGGCGATGTGTAACAAGGAGGTAACAGGAAACAATGAAGGTTTTTCTGTTTTCTACCTTTTAACAAGTATAGTCACACCTTAATGACCTTATTCTCTTAATGACAGATAACTATAATTAACATAATTCTCAGTTAATGAGTGATGACAGTGTTCTTGCTTTGGGTGACATCGTTCTGCTGCACCTCCATTGTGCAGCACTGCCACATCTCCCTCTGTTCTCATCACTTTGAATGTGGCCCAGAACAAATACCTGCCAGGTGCATCTGAGTTGGCATATGACACACATGATGCTGCGATGAAAAGCTCTGTCAAGACCTCAAGTCACGCTATGAACTTCCTGTCCCCTTGGATGTGCTCTGCCACATCATTTCCCTGCCAGCCAATGAGGCTCCAGGCTGATGGAGGCTGGGAGGACCCATGGGGGATGGTCTGGTTCCACCAAGCCAGTTAACACATCCCCTAATTCACCTCTGATAACTGAAAGACTGCTGAAGAGTCTCACATTAATTGTCTGAGTGAGGGACAAGCTCTCTTTTCCTAGGTCAGAAGGAAAGCCCCATATTCGACCTTCAAGGTAAAAATTTAACTAGCACCCAGACACAGCAACCTATGCAGCAAATACCTGTGACTGGAAGGTAGCGTAAACTAGACCCCGCTACCATCCGTATGTCCTTATCTTGAGCCCACCTTGCCATACCTTGGAATCATCTTTAAAATGTTACACAAGGTTTAGCAATAAGCTTCTTGAGAGGCTTTATGTTTTTGTTTTCCTCACCTTAGGCACTAGAGTGTCTTGAGGGGGAAAAGTACATACTGAATTAGTCTTCTATGCACTACAATTCTCTATCTTGTGTCTGTCCTGGAGGAAAAGTTTCTGCCACTACTGTGCTACAGAGATGCAGATAGGAAAGACAGACACGTTGCAACACAGAGAGAAAGTCTGCTTGTGCACAGGGATTTTCTCTGACCACCATATGAGAACAAGGCTCTGTTAGCATCAGTCTAGGCAGAAACAGAAATTAAATGAGACACAAACAATAGGCCAAAAAAATCTGAATACAGTCGAGGGGTACTGAAAATTGTAATAAGGCCTGAAATCTCAGAATTGAAGGACAGGCAACTAGCTGCCTGCGTGATACCTTACAATGAATTTTCCCAAATCTAAGGCCAAATTGCTAGTCATCTGCCTAGAACAACACACAGAACACAACATGATTGCAGAGCCTCGATGCTAGACACTGCAGGAAGGATGTGTAAGGTAAATTCCATCAGCCCTACAATCAGCTTCTAGGGTTTGGGAAGGGCCTGGGCAAGTCCCACAAAAGAGGGATTTGTGAAAGGAGAAGAGATGGTTGGAGCTTATCCTAATTATGAGGGAGCCAAGAGATGCGCAGAATGACGTTGCGAGCTCTGAGAATGTGTGAGGAAAACACACTTTACAAGCAATAATGATATCTTTCTTATTCAGCCTATTAATGTAACTACCACTAAGAACATCAGTATTAACATATTATATTGCACTACAGATCTTGCAGTCCTCAGCACATTGTGCAAGATCAGGCTGTTTCCTTACTAGATTTGCATGCTTGGGTTCACAGCACTAGATAAATCAGTTGTAAAAGTGTGCCACTTAAAACGTGTCTGCCATGTCTCCAGGCCATCATGTGGTCAAAAGCACAAATGCAGACAGAGGAAGATGCTCTCTAAACAGCCGGGGTGGGGTTTGCCCCCCCTTCATCTCTAGCCAGCTGTTTTTAAGGAAGCAGCAGCTCTCTGAATTGCAAAACAACATCTGACACAAGAGCTGTGGACAGCCGCTGCCTCCCAGGCGGCCTCCCAGCCCAGCCTGGAGAGATGGCAGAGCAGCAGCATGGCAGGCGTGGGGCAGCCCCAGTGTCCCTCCCTCCCTCCCGCATCAGCCTACAAAGCCAGAGGCACACAAAGGTCTTGGGTATTAAAGCTGCATCTTGCAAAGAATAAAATGCCTTTTTCTCTTGTGTGCTTTTTGAACTAGGCTGGTTACAGGCTGCAGGGAACCCCAGCAGTGTCAGTGTGCAGTGACCGTGTGCTACCCCTTGGTCCTCAGGGTTTAGTTCAGACCAAAACCTGGTGGTCCCTCTAGAGGTTTGGTGGGTCCCAGAAGACCTCAGTGCCTGGCACAGCAAGCCCAGACCTGGCTGGCTCTACACTGGCTTTGAAGGGATCCTATGGGGAGACAAGTGCCCTTGAGCCCCTCTGAGTACCTAGGAAGTGTTCTGCACTTCTTCTTCCCAGAGCTGGATTAGGGAAGGGGCTTTCAGAGGGGCACACAGGATGTTCCTGCAGGGCACACAGAGCTGGGATGAGCATGTCCAAACCACTCGCCACCCTGCACTAGCCTAGAAGTGTGTACAAAGCCCTCATTATTCAGGATGGATGGTGTCAGCCACCCTGAGGGAGATCCATTTAAGCTGCACCAGCTTCAGAGACACTCAGACCCACCAATTCAACCCCTCTTCTCCAACTCTTTCTTCTTTGTCAAAACGTATCCTCAAAAACATTATCCTCACACTTCTGGGAGGGGCAGGACCACTTCCGTGGTTGCACCCCTTCTCTGGGGCATGGCAGGTAGTATTTCAAAGGAAACAATTTGTTGCCCTTTGTCCTCCAGATGCCTGATGTATGAAACAGCCTTGTATTACTGGAGTTCCTGCTTGATCCAGTACCCATATGCTTAAGCCTAAAAATTATTGTTGCTGGTATCTTTTATTGTTTCCCCTAAGGGAAGGGAAAAGGACAAAAAGAAGATGATGGGAAGGCCAGAGATCGTGTGTGCGTTGTCATAGTCATGCCCAGCTTTGAGCTGAAGTTATCTAGTGACAGCAGCTCCCCCTGCTCTGCACTACTAACATCTCCCCTGCAAGGAACAGCCACTGCTCCCTCCTCCCACTTCTCATTTGTACTGCAAAGAACAACATAAGCATCTGCATTTACCTTTCTGCTTATTTAAGAATGGCAGTAGGGGTGAAGCCAAGGGACTTCTTTTTCCAGAGTCCTTAGAAGACACTTTACTTTGGTTAACAACAGTTTCTTCAATGGGTTTCTTCAGAATTATTCTTTCCTTCAGCTCCTCAGTGTTGATGGCAGATGCTGGGGCTTCAGCACTTACTTTTGGTGCAACAAAGGAGCATTTCAGGTAAGATGTGGACTCTGCCAGATTTTCCCTGTTCATCCTGCTCTCTGTTGTTTTACTTGATTCATAGTCTGAGGCATCAGCACGCGAGCCATTCTCTTCCTTAATAATGTCCATGGGCTTCATTACAGGGGAGTCCTGCTCCCTCTTTGGGCTCTCTTCAGAGGCTGATGAGGCATCACAGGACTCGATGATGAGCTCACTGTCGAGCTCAGCCTCCCGCTCCTCCCGTAGGATGCTGTACTGGATGGAGGGGGAGGCAGGTGATGGAGGGGGCCCTCCAATGTGGCTGAAGGTCATGTAGTTGGAGTGCAGCACCTCCTCGGCAGCCAGTGGGTCCTCGGAGACCAGCTCTATCTCAGAGTCCCCTGATTCAGCACTGCTGGCTTCATTATCCAGGGGTGAGGAGGCGGCAGGGCGCCCAGGTTTGACCCGCTGGTCTCTCTTCTCAGTGGAAAGGGCTGGTGGCTGCTGCACCTCCGGGGTCTCAAAGGAAAAGCTTTTTGCTTCCTTGATGGCGCTGATGAGTTCATCCTCCGACAGGCTGCCTTTGCCCTGCGACTCTGAGCCAGATGGTTCTGCCACCCGGAAAGGAAGAGGAAGGAAAGGGAAAAAAAATTTAAGAATAAGATTTTCTGGCTGCTTAGGCAACAAACACAATAGATTTCGTGCCAGCACAGATCCCTCTGGCAGGGCTGGTAACACAGGCAGAAAGTCTCCCCATCTGGGATGACTAACAGTAATAACAGCTCGTCCTTACAGAGCATTTCCCATGCACGTACTTGTTATAAAGAAGTATCATTAATATAATTTACTAAGGAAATGGATGAAGCACAAGGCAATGTTGCTTAGTGCTTGGCCAGTGGCTCAGCAGTATGTTTTTCACCAGGAAAATCACCCATCATGAGGAATATGGGCTCAGGCCACACATGACAGTGTCTGACTGTCACCGACAGATACAGGTCTGTTCTGGGGACAAACACACACAACAGGGCTGGTGGGTTCCTGACACCACTGATCATAACAAGCTATATGTATTAGTTTTGTCAAACTTTAACTTTCAGGCATGGAAAATTTCAGGTCAGAAACTTCTCAGATTTTTTCTTTTTTTCTCCTTTTTGTTTTTTTTCCCAGAACAGGTGGTGAACTTTCTGTTTGATTTTACCTCAGTTGGGTCCAAGACTGAAACTCATATTTTTACCTTAATTCTTAATAACATTGAGAACTACATTAACCAAAATAACTGACCAACTTGTCACCCAAAATTTGAAGAAAAAAGATTTCTCTGCATTTTCTGACTTGCACTGGGAAGATGAAAAGTAAAAATGAACCATTGAAAAGGCTGGCTGGTCACCCGGGATTAACAAGGAGACCACCATCCCCTGCTAGAAGTGAACCCACCACCAGAATTTCCACCTTTTCTGCCTCCCTGGATATCACTTTACCATGTAGAATTTTGTAATGAAATAACAAAGAAAGTAAAATTGCATCTAAAATGTTCACAACATCAGGCAATGGAGACAGCATGAGCTGCTGTCCTGAGTTAGTGCATGGGTACAGGTTTCCCTCAATCATTCACAGAGCACCAGCCAGACTCCAGCCCAGCCCACTCCTGGAGCATTGGCAGCAAGGCTAGACAGGCCACCTGAGCCTGTCTGTACCAAGGAGGACCATGGTAGCAGTGTGCACGCTGTCCCCCGCCGGCACCTGGCCACCACTGCCTCCTGCTTCCCACCTTCCACATCAGTGACCCAGAGATCGCTGGCATCCACACACAAGACCCTCTGTGCTGAGGGGAAGAAAGGCTGAATTCCCCAGTGATGTTGAAACAGCCATCAAGCACACATGGAAATTTGTCCTCTGAGCAAAGTGCTTGTTCACTAATTTTATATCGTTAGTAATGTGACAGAGGTCACTGAGTGGCATTGCAGGTGGTGAAGGTTCAAGAAAGCCATCAGAATGAGAGACCCCCAAGTTTCATTTTGCTGATGCTGGTGAAAAGGCACATGCAGGACACAGCCTGTATTCATGTGTCTGGGGATGCCATAAGGGGTAAGGTTTCCAACCCCTTGATTGCAGGCAGGATCCCTGAAGCTGACCTGTGCCTGTTCCTAATGGTATTTGCCTTCAGCCCAGCTCTGTTTCAGGTGCAGCCACTGGCATCAGCCCCCTCAAGCACACACAGCAGCACTGGCCACCTCCGGAAGCTCCTTTACAACAGAGTGGGAAAGAGATTTTATCAGACCTGACCTGGGATAAAACCGCTATTTTTGGATATTTCCTGACTTAATTTCTCATGACAATAGCATGATTTCTTCCTGGTCATATGCTTTCCCCAAGATGAATCAGATAAAGGGGGAGATTTTAATGATAGCACCCAAGCCATCATGTTTTGCTGGGAAATGGACAAGAAAAACAACCTCCCCACATCCCTCAAAGCAATTTTGGTTTGTGTGTCTGCCAATACGCATCATCGGCAATTTTGAGCATGTATTGTTGCCATGTCTGCAGCTCTTCCAACAAAACACCTCTCTTGTAATGCATCCCTCTCACATGAGAAAGTCCTTCTGCAACCCAGGGTATGGCGATAGTCAGGATGAAGGTGTTTGGGACTGTTCCAACACACTCCTGTGTGGATGCTGGTAAGTTTCTGTTGCATTGGTTGTGCTGAGCAGGAGCCTGTGCATCCTTTTCCTCCTGCTGCAGGAAGCCTGCATGAGCTGCGCCACTCTCCTGCATTCCCATGTGTGAGCATTTTCTCCCTGAGCAATGACTTAATCCGGCAGGCGTCCAAACAGGCATGTGACTGCCAGCCCTCGTAGCACAGCAACGCTCCATCCCTCTTCTTCACCCTGCTCCTGCCCTCATTGGCAGTTTGTAACTCTAAGCCATGGCATTTACCTTTCAAACAAAGTCCTCTGTGGCTAGCAGCAGGGTGTCACATCTACCACTGGCATGGGAAAGCATATAAATACCCACTGCCTTTCAGCGCCAGCACAGTGTATAAACAGACCACATCTTCCTTCCCGAGAAAGATGATGGCCAGTAATTAAAAGTAAACCTTTTGAAACAGTCCTCACCCAAACAGGGGGGAACCAGGGGCTTTGCCAGAATACCTGAGGGGTACCTAGGAGCGACAACTTTGCTGGGTCACTGGGTAGAAATAGTAGGTTTCTACCCAGTGGTAGGTTTTACATTTCTCTCTCACTTATGACCAGAGTCTGGGCACTGATGTCCCCTGCTGCAGGAAAGGGAGAAAATCCAGAGAAAACACCCTGCAGGAGCCAGCCTCTAAAAGAAACTGCCCGCTTCTTTCCTTAACACAATAGGATCAACAGTGCTTCTGGCTTTCCAGCACCCCGATGCAAGGCAGTGGGACCTCCCAGGGTTGTTCAGGCAGTGCTGGGGATCAGCTTTGCCCATGGAGAGGAACATTATTGTGCTGGCAATTATGCCCTCCACTCCAGTGCCCCCCAGTAAGGCAGCAGCTGTGAGGCTCAGCCACGCACTATTCAGCTACTTTGATGGAATACAGTTATGAAGTATCACAAAGGCAGCCCTGAACAGTCACCAAAGACTGAATAAATAAAGATTAGTGCCTGAAGTTCTTAATTACCTTGAAGTGCAAAAAGTGTAAATCGATAAAAAATGGCATGTCTCTGCAGTAGCATGTGATGCCACTCAGCCAAATAGAAGAAGAAAAATGGGACTCTAATGTCTATTTATAATCTAAAGTTTCTGGCTGATGCAGACAGGATAAACTCACAGCTGTGGTGGACTCTCTTTATCTCTTTTTGTGTGTGTGAACATATACAAATGCATACTCAGTTTTGGGTAGGAGCTATGTATTTCTCTAAGGGTTGGTATTAGTGTGGGTGGAAATCCCAGACTGACGTTTTAAGGAAATTCCAGTTGATTTTTAAATGTTCCTAGGTGCCATCAAAACAATGGAATTTCGTCTTGGGGATGTTCATTGTCAAAGAGTTAGGGTTCCAGGACACTGAAATTTAATTTCAAGCCTGAAGATCCTTTTTCCTGTCACAGAACTTTATTCCATTTTAAAACACTATATTGCTTTCATATTTTAGCAATGTGCAAAAGGGAAAATAAGGAACAGGTATTATGCACTACTACAGTAATCAGGCAATAAGGAAAGGTATAAAAAGGTATATGGGATTTTAGCATTCCTCCAGTAGAAACCAGAAGCCTTTAAAAAAGACTGGCCCTTTGATCCTCCAGTCCTCTTTGTAAATAAAGTGGGAGCATTTGCCTCCTCAGCACTTTCTAAAAGCAGCACTCTCACTTGAAAACAGCACTTACTTTTAACAATTTAACCTTATTCTCTGCAAGATCAAAGAGGTGTTAAAACAGCTATCAATATTTAAAATATGAACCCAGGCATTTGCAGTGCCCTGATCCCACATATCTCATTTCCTTTGGGGAGCATGGCCAGCCAGGGTGACCCCAAAATCACCATGATGGAAACTGTTGTCTGGCTGATGATACCCCCAATGACACCCACCAGCTCACTTCTCCTTGAGGAGAGATCCCCTTGGGGACCAGGCTCAGCAAGCCTGGACCTGCCCCCAGCCATGCTCCTGAGCAGCTTTCAGCAACTTACTTCCATAGATTCCCAGCCCTGTCTTGCCCTCTTCTCACAGAGAAAGGGCAGCCCACCCTGAGTAGTGTGCTAGTGATGGGCAGCACAGTTTACACCCCGCTTCAGTTCTGCAATGTAAACTGATGCCCAAGCAGAGCAGAAACGCCTCTAACTATGGAGACCCATTAATGGCTGCTCATACCCACTTAGACACACCCCACAAACCCACAGTAATTCTCCAGCATGCAGGGCTACAATGGCAACTGCTCTCTGAATATCAAGAAAACCCAGTGCCATGCACCAGCATTACCTGTGCCAGAGGACGGTGGCGAGACAGACCCCGGGCTGTCATCTTCTGGCTCTGACACCGTCACTGTTGGTACCACCTCATGGCTTGGCTTCAGGCCGGTCTCTGGCTGAGTTGGGCTTGACTCTTTGCTGACAGCTTCCCCAGCACTTTCTATCTTGGTAAGCGTGATCTTGACGGGGGCTGTAACCTCAGAGGCACTTTGCTGATCTCCAGATCTTGTGTCTTGAAGCTGATCTTGCTCTTTGGCTGCCTTCATGCTCTCTGAAGCTGGCCACTGAGGGTCAACCTGGTGGGTACTCCCTGGTGCTTACCAATAAGGTCTAGGCTCTCATCTTCTGAGTCAGGCTCACGTTTATCTTGGTATTTTATTTCTTCTGATCTACTTATGTCCATGTATTTATAAGCTTCTACTTTTATGGGATCTGCTAAGGTTTTATCAACTTCAGTAGACTCTGCAGGAGTCATCTCTATTCCCGAATCTGAGCTAAATAAACCACGGGACTCAAACCCAGTCGCATCTTGAACAGGATGCCCCAGTGCATTAAACCCCTCTGTGCTGCCTGAGCAGGGAATGGGGCTGTTTTCCTAGCCCATGTAATAGGTGGAGTCCCGCGGGGTGGTGTAGTGGACGTCCGAGATCAGAGAGGTGTAGAAGGAGCTGTCGCCCCCGTTGGCAGTGGACCCATAGTCAAAGAGGTGTGACGAGCCTGTGACACCTAATGCAAAGACACAAAAACAACGCACAGTAAAGAGACAAGTGCCTGCATACATCAATCTTTCTGCAAAGCTGTACTCACTCCCCACTGATTTTAGATTCAGTTTGTGCATCAAGCTTAGGTATCCTTGCAAGCTCCTTTGGGACTGTCTCTTATTAAACCTTTGGGCAACAGTGGCACATCTATCAGACAAGGCTTCCAGCTGCTGTTGTATCTTAAAATAGCTATAATGATCCTGATAGCTGCTAAGAGTTTGTGGCCAATGTTCACCCAGCCCATGTATAAAAATCTCGAGTGGCAATCCCACAACCTCCCTCACAATCCAACTCAGAGGCTCACCATCAAATATCCTTTTTTTAAAAAAAAAACAAAAAACAAAAAAACAAAAACAAAAAACAAAACAAAACTAATGTCCAATACAAAAACAATCCAGAGCTAAAATTTTTTTGTTTCTTTCTTTGTTTTTAATGCAGAGAAATGCAAGAGTTTCAACTTAAGGAAACTTTTAACTAAGAAAAAAAAATCTGTTGGACAGAAATTGAGATGGAAAGTTTACAGGTAGCTTTAGATTTCATTTTCTCTTTTAAAAGTAGCTACCCTAAATTTGTGAAACACCAGGGCAGAGACTAAACAGCCTCATTTAGTGATTTCCACATGCCCAAAAAGCCATATCCTGTGTGCATCATCTACAAAGCATGCCAGCATGAAAGTGGTTAAACCTCTACACATACCCATGCATCATTTTCATTCACCGTCTCTAAATCCCTTTGTCAAGCTTTAAGTTCCTGGGGATGATGCTAATTAAACTACAAACAATGGCCACTCTCTATTTGCAGCATTAACATAAAGCGAAGCTCAACAACGGGAACAGCAAGATCCCCATGAAGGAGGCAGGAGGTGGGAAGACAAATTTTTATAGGGGCTGAGGGAACAGGGATGTAGAGGAACAGAGCTAATGCCTGTAGGAGCTGGTGTCTGTAGGAGGGCGGTAGCCTGTTAACCGCTTGTGTGCAGATGCACGCTGCATGGCAGAGGCTGGCTGGCTGGCTTTCTCATCACCCTGCAAGGGATGTGGGGCTCCTGACATGCTCCATGTGTGACATGTCCTGGGCTACCACACACAATGCAAACTGAACAGTAACATTAAAGGGAGGTTTGCTGCTGCTGCAAATCCAGAAACTGGGAGATGTCAGCATGAAAACTCCTGAGCTACTTGCATTGAGTTATTTTCTTTCTCCTCAGACATACATAACTATATCATCTCTAAATACCATTGCAACTGTTTTTCACCACAGCCCTCCACGCATTAGATACATGCAGCTCATTTAGTGAACCGTGAAGCAATTTTTTTCCCCCTCTTAACATTGAACAATGTGTAGCTACAGGTTTTATTTTACTGCACAACCTCACTGGATTTGACATGCACAACAAATGCCCTATGCAAAGGCATAATGACCATTTCCCTCACCATATTTTTGCATTGCTCAGTGCTACGATGACATGCAAGTGACTTCTCTTCCCTGGGCCTTTAGTGTAGGAATGGCATGCTCCTCCTTTTACAAGGAGGATCCTGGTAGCATAAGGAAAAACCAACCCAAAAGTGCCATTCCTTGCTTTTCAGCCTACCTACGCTATCTGCTCCTGTGTGTCCATCCTCACTGACTCTGGGTGCTGTTGGTCCCCCTCCAGCCCTCACTGCTAATCTGCTACTGTACACAATGCTGACAGCTCAAGGCCGTGGCGTGTAGGACATCCGAAAGCACGGGACAAGGGGTGCTGTAGCTAGCAGGTGAAAAACTACCATCATCATTCCCAGGTTTCAGTTTGCTCTTCCTTCTGCTACAGAGCACTGCACAGAACTTTAAGCAGAAATATTTATGTTCAAGGCAAGATCTTGTTCCACAGTGGTGAGGGTCAGCGCAGAGATTTTTCCTATACATGTGAATTTGGGACTTCTTTTTCCCCTCTCTGACTGTGTAGCTTTACATTTACCTACTCTAAATTTCACCTTCTATTTTCCTGCCAGCTCATTCAGGGCTGCAAGCTCCTTTTGTAACTCACTGCAGGCAGCTCTCATCCTCGCTGTTCCAAATGACTCAGTCTCATCAGCAAAGCTACGTGAGAATGAAGCCTAAGCAGAAAACCACAGTGAAACAACGCAGAGTAAAAGCTAAGCTGGGCTGTCCAGCATCCACATCAGTTCCTATCTGAGGTCACCCAGTGCCTCGCCTCACAAGGATAGCTCATACCCAAAAAACATTTCTAAATGACCAGTAAGCAAAAAGGGAGAGGTTCTTTGTCCTGCGAATATTTTTCTTGCTGAACTTGCCTTTTTGAAAATTGTCCATAAACAGGCTTGGATTTTCACAAATGTGTTGGTTAGCTGGAATTATCTGATGCATTGTTTATGCCATTATATTTCAGGCTGTGAATTGCTGACTACATAGTATTTATGCCTGTTGCTGCCAGTATCTGCTGTTTGTAATTTACTGTTTATGCTGGGTGAGTAGCTGTCTAAATCATGGGGTTTCAGGGCTGCTCTTTCATTAGATGATTCCTCAGTGCCTACGGGGCCTCATCCAAAGCCCACCGAACTCACTAGAAAAGTCCCATTGATTCTGAGTGGCTTTGGACCAGCTCAAGATGGCTGCGCTACGCTTTCTGCTCCAGGTGCTCATGAAAAATACACCATCACATCACCATCAGTGAACAAAAATACATTTCTACAAACATCACACTATTCCTAGCAAAGGGGGAGCACAGACAGAGTCTAAAGGAGATTGAAGTTGCTGTCAAACCAATATTCATAGATGCTGTTTCCAGCTTTCATTTCTGCTTTGTCCATAGTGTATGTGAGCCAGATGCACATGCATTTGCAGCACTTAGTAATGCTGATCAATCTATCAGTGTAAGGGTTTCTAATGCATTTGTGTCAGGTGCTTCATAGCAGAAGTTATAGCAAGCCAGGAGAGCTTGCAGAAGAGCCACTGTGATAAAGAGAGCCTGGGAAGATGTCATCCTATTCTTTACAATATTCATCAACAGAAAGAAAAATAACCCTGAAATAGTCATCAACAGAAACATCACATTTTCATATCATACAAATTCAGTTCTGTAGCAGATGTTAACACAAGAGCTCATTTAAAATAGACTCACTGTTGATCATAAACTTTTTTTTCTGCAGTGGTTTTGCAAATAACAATGAAAACAGAAAATGCATTTCTTACTGGGGTTCAGGAGGAAGACAAAGAGTTGAAGGGTGTGGAAGCATGTCCATGCACATGTGTGAGCAGAGAGAGGGTTCACATTAGCAGGGCGTAGAGGGATCCCAACTCTCAAGGCAACGGCAGAGTCAAGAGCACTGAAGACAGCTGAAATTGCCTAATTACTAGGATTTAATGCAAGCCTCTTTCCACAGGGAATGATTTAAAGCCATTGGTAAAACTGCATTTTATTTGGGAAGTGTGAATCTATCAGCTATTAGGCTGGCTATTAAAGACATGGAAACCTATAATAGCTGAACAGATTTTTGTTAAAGAATGGTGTATTCAGAGCCTGGTGATTGAGCAATGCCCTCTCTGACTCTGAGTTTATTTAGTTCAATATCCGTGGGAAGGAGAAGCCTTGAATAGCACTGGTAATGGATGGCAGTATCAGATTTGAATTCACCCTTGTTACAAAGGGTTGTTTTTTTTAACCTGGATTTCCCCCAAACATGCCCAAAAACTTGCCTGCCAATTCAGGTAAAGCAAAGCTATTCAGTGCCTGAGAGTAGCAGTCATGCTTTCTTGTAACATAAGCCCTTGGGAAATAATTCCACTTCCTGCAACCAGCTAAATAATGGGTCTGATCCAATCATTTGAGCACAGCTGAGATGCTCAGCAAGTTACATGTGTTTTCAACTGTAAAGAAAAAAAAATAAATTGAAAATGACTGGTTTGTTTCCTCAGAATGAGTAAGTGAATGCTCCAGAAGTCCTCTCCTAGAGCATTGGATTTAGAGCTATTTAACAATTTACACAGGAAATAATTCAGAAATCATTGGTTCCATGGAGTGTAACTGTTAATTTAAGAAAGGCAGCTGAAGCCCAATTTGGACCAGCGCAAGTGGAAGAGGAAACAAAAAGTTAGCTGAGGGTAATAAAAAAAAAAAACAAACAAACAAACAAAAAAACTGATTTAAATAAACTGATTCCCCCCCCCCCTGCAACTACATTATGCTCAGTCTTCTTAAAACTGGTCACTTCAGAATATTTCATTCAATTTTCAATAAAATAACCAGTTTCCATGTTAACCTGCCATTCTTAATCTTTGCATGCAGCTCTGGTGACCTTCAGGGGCACAGACAGACTGACAGAGAAGGACATGACATTTCAGTTCTGCAGAACAGCTGGCAACCCTGCAATGTGAGGTTCAGTATTTATTGTGTGTCAGTGATTCAATCAGAATTATTAATTTTCAAGAGGGGGGGAGAACAAATCTTTAATTAGATTATGCTATTTTTACAACCGAGAGCTCCACGGAGGAGAGGAAGAATCTTTGGTTGCAATGGGAGGAATCAAGGTTTCAGTGACCTTTACAAACAAAAGCAGAATCGTGTGAGAAAGCTGCTTCCAGCAAATTCCTGTAAGTCTTTAAAAGAGTTGGCTCTGACTTTTGCGTTGGATATTGAGCCTCAGGAGTCATTACTAGTGCTGCAGGGCTGCTAGCTCCCAGAAACAGGGTGTCCCCAGCTCTTTCCCATGTCCATGAAGATCACAGCCTCCGGTTGACAAGGGCCACCTTGTCCTGTTCAGACAGTCTCTGCCCTGTGGTAATTTATGGACTAGAGATAATAACAAGCAAAGCCCCATAAACAAGGAAAGTACTCTTGTTTGACTGGCCCCAAATTATGCTAGAAGGTCTCTCAGGCCATATGTCACTCCCAGTACCTCAGCCCTTTTGCTGTCATCAAGAGTTTCTAGATAACAAAGAGGCCAAAATTGAATGACAA